TCGAGTGCAGGTGTCTTTTTCATAGAGTGACTTTTGCTCTTTTGGGTAGATGCCCAGTAATGGGATTGCTGGATCAAATGGTAGTTCTACTTGTATCTCTTTAAGGTATCTCCATATTGCTTTCCACAGAGGTTGCACTAATTTGCAGTCCCATCAGCAGTGTATGAGTGTTCTTACCTCTCTGCATATTTCATCCTCATTTTTGAAATGGTTTTCTCTTTGTATATAATTCTAGACTGGCAACTATCTTCGCCAACACTTTGAAGACATTATTCCCCTGTCTTTCTGGCTTTCATTGTGCACTATTGAGAAGTCATTTGTCCATCTATTTGTCATTTCTCTGTAGGTGATGTTCTTTTTATTCCCCTGGCTGTTTTTAAGATTTCTTTCTTTCTTTTTTTTTTTGATATTCTGTAGTTTCACTACAGTGTGTTTAGATATGAATTTCTTTTCATTTATCCTTTTGGAGATCTGTTAGGCTTCCCAAATCTGAGAATTCACGGCTTTCATCTCTTCTGGAAAATTATCAGTGAATATTTCTTTATCTGTCTCTTTCTCCTACCTTATTATCTTCTCAAGAAACTCCAAATAGATATTTGCTAGAACATTCTCACGTTAATTATACATCTGCTAATAATTTTTCCATTTATATCTTTCTGTGCTGTATTCTAGTTTAATACTTTTTCCTTTATATGTGTCTAAATTGCTCTTTTTAATTTAGCTTCTAATTTTGATTACAGTCATGAGTCCCTTCATGAAGGGGATATGATCTGAGAAAAGTATTGTTAGGTGATTTTGTCATTGTGCAAACATTATAGAGTGTGCTTACAAAAACCCAAATGGTCTAGCCTACTGCATACCTAGGCTATATGGTATATAGCCTATTGCTCCCAGGCTATAAACCCGTACAGCATGTTACCATACTGAATATTGTAGGCAATTATAACACAACGGTAAGTATTTGTGTGTCTGAACATAGAAAAGATACAGTAAAAATATGGTATAAAAGATAAAAATGGTGCACCTGTATAGAGCACTTACCATGGATGGAGCTTACAGGACTGGAAGTTTCTCTGGGTGAGTCAGTGAGTTAATAGTGAGTGAATGTGAAGGCCTAGGACATTACTAATACACTACTGCAAAATTTATAAACATTGTACACTTAGGTTGCACTAAATATATAAAAAATTTTTTTCTTTCTTCAATAGCAAATTAACCTCAGCTTACTATAACCTTTTACTTTAAAACTTTTAAATTTTTTTAAACCTTTTGACTCTTTTTTTTGTAATAACACAGCATAAGTTGCAAACATACAACTGTACAAAATATTTTCTTTACACTACAGTAGACTTTACAAACACTTCACTCTTAGGCTTCACTAAATTAAAAAAAAAAAAAATTCCAATAGCAAATTAACCTCAGCTTACTATAACCTTTTACTTTAAAACTTTTAAATTTTTTTAAACCTTTTGACTCCTTTTTTTGTAATAACACAGCATAAGTTGCAAACATACAACTGTACAAAATATTTTCTTTATATCCTTATTCTATAAGCTTT